CATGGCCTCCAGGAGGGGAGTGAGTGCCACCTCTGAGGCCACCTGGACGGCCACCCTGGGTCCTGGGTTTCCCAGGAAGTTGCTGGTCAATCTCCCTCGCGCCCCACAGTGAGGCCTCCTCAGGGGTCTGGGTCTGGAGGAGACGGATCCCTGCCCTCAGCCCACATACACTCCAGACCTCCAGCAGCTCCCGGGTCAGCGTGGACCCCTAAATCATCTCTCAGCCCGGAGCCCTGTCCTCACTCCCCATCCCACTGAAGGAACCCCACGTGCAGGCCAAGCCGGGTCACGGACAGAAGAGTCTCCATGGGGCCTGCTGAGCTCTGCTCTCCGAGGCCACGCACCACTGTCCATTCCACACGGGCGGGTGCAATTCCAATGGTTAACCACCCACGGCCACAGCAGCACATGCACCCTCACGAACACTCAAGTATAAAGACACAGGGCAGGGCACTTGCTTGTCCTTTGGTGTGTCTCTGGCACTTACAGGAAACTGTGGCACACAGCAGGCACTCAGGAAATGTCTGTTGAATATATAGCCACATAGCACACATGAATACACCACCATGACACTACGTGCACGGTTACACATGGCCACGTGCACGCACAGTACACAACCCAGTCATCACACACGTGCACACACAGTACATCACACAGAGACACTATGCCCACAGACACACGTGGACACAGGAAGGCACCCCTGAAACACACAGACAAGCCCACAGGGTGGGGTCATAGTGACACGTAGACACATACACCCTGGGCCGACTCTCGTACTCCCAACATTAAGTCCCACCCCAGCCTGGATGGCACTTGTCCCTGTCTGGACTCAGGGCCCTAAAAGGCAAACCGCAGCATCCAGGCGATTCAGGGTCCAGTTTCCTAGGAAGCCTAACCAACTGGTTTTGTTACAGGATCCCAGGGCAGGAGGAACGGGGAAACTGAGGCAAAAACGTTAAAACAAGGCTGAACAGTGTGGGCAATCTGCAGCCAGCTGGTAACTAACCAGCCATTATCATCCCAGCAAGGACATGAGAGCAAATGGTGAAAAACCTTTGGAATGAGAGAATGCAGAGAGGAAGGGGGAGGAGAAAGGGGAAAAGGCAGTTCTACTCCCTCAGCAGGGAAGCCCGCAGTCTCAGGCTGGGCAAGATAAAGTTGCAGGTGCTTCTCATGAATTCTGGGAAGGTCACAACAAAGTAAAAAAAAAAAAGGGGGGGGGGCCTTGAGAATCACTCTGCACCAAAACAGCCAGCAGAGGAATGTTGAAGCCTATGGACAGGAGGGTATATGACGCCTCAGACCCCACCCAACTCGCTCTTCAATGAGCTGAGAGCCTGTCTGCACTTCATGAGCCAGATGCCTAGGTTTGCTGGCTTTGCTTTTTCAATAAAGGTGCAGCTTTAATAGATTGGCTTTTCACAACACAGTCAAGGTCTCTTGTATAAATGCATTTATATGAGAAGACTAGAGGCCTGGTGCACGAAAATTCATGCACTGAGGGGGTTGTCCCTCAGCCCGGCCTGCCCCCTCTCACAGCAGTCTGGGAGCCCTCAGGGGATGTCCTACTGACGGCTTAGGCGGGAGGCGACTGGGCAATCAGGGGAAGGCACTGCCCCCATCACCCCACTGCTGCTGCCACTGCCGGCCACCAGCTCTCCTCGGCCCTCACAGCCGCTGCAGCTGCCGGCCCTCCTCAGCCCTCGCGGCTTTGTCTGGAAGGACGTCCAGAAGACGTCCAGTCTAATTAGCATATTACCCTTTTATTAGTATAGATAAGGATCGCCTTAGCTGGTCTGGCTCAGTGGATAGAGCATTGGCCTGTGGACTGAAGGGTCCCAGGTTCGATTCCAGTCAGGGGCACATGCCTGGGTTGTAGACTTGATCCCCAGTGGGGAGGTGTGCAAGAAGCAGCCGATCAATTATTCTCTCTCATCATTGATGTTTCTATCTCTCTCTCCCTCTCCCTTTCTCTCTGAAATCAATATATATATTGATATATATATCAATATATATATTGATTATATATTATATATATATATATATATATATATATATATATTTTTTTTTTTTTTAAAGAAGATAAGGATAGAGGTTTGGGACAGCCCTCTCCCACTGACTCAGGGGCTTTCTGGTAACACCTCTCTGGTGTCAGTGAGAGGTGCCTATTAGTTTTATAATCTAGCCCCTGAGAGCTGCATAGTTTAGAAACTTGGTGCCCAGTCTTGAAAGGAACCCCTGACTCAAAAGTTGCAGCCCCAGCAGCATGCTCCGGGAGCTGGAGCGTGGGTGATGGGGGCGGGGGGGAGCTGGCTTTCAGGATGTCTTGGATTCTCCTTCCACTGCCACCCACCCTCTGAGATGGCACAGCCCCTGTCTGGTCATGTGGGCCATGAGCTAGGCTCACAAACACTCTTGGTGCCCACGGAGCCCACTTAGGTCCCAGCCCAGGGATTCCCCCCTCGGGCCCTTCCTCCTACCTCCGCTGTGGCCCTGGGTTGGAGTGAGACCACTGAGTCAAAAGGGTGTCCTGGACCAGAGCAGGTGAACCTGTTGTTTTGCTGTCTCCCTCACTGATTTGTGGTTGGGGGCCCTGATGTGTATGCCTTTGTCTCCAAGTCCTACCCAATTGTCCCTCTATAACTGGACCCCAAGGAGGGTCCCCTCAGAACCCTAAATTCCAACACAGTCACCCTCCTGTCCCAGAGTGAAGACTTGGGATCACATCTTACTGCCTGTAGCCCCATTCTTGAACCTCTATTTTTCCATCCACCAACTGCCCAGCCCCCTGAGGGAGTCAAGATCCTTCCAGCTGCAAGGTCCACAGACCCCACTTCAAGCTAACTTGAGCAAAAGTGAAAGGAAGGTTCTGGATTACGTAACTGAGAGGTCCAGGGCTGGAACAACAGGTTCAGGTTGAACCCAGGGACTCAAATAATGTCTCCAGGACTCAACTCTCTCTAGAGCAGCGGTTCTCAACCTTCCTAATGCCGCGGCCCTTTAATACAGTTCCTCATGTTGTGGTGACCCCCAACCATAAAATTATTTTCGTTGCTACTTCATAACTGTAATGTTGCTACTGTTATGAATCGTAATGTAAATATCCGATATGCAGGATGTATTTAGGCGACCCCTGTGCAAGGGTCCTTCGACCCCCAAAGGGGTCGTGACCCACAGGTTGAGAACCGCTGCTCTAGAGTTTTGCTCTCAGCCAGGTTCTCCCCTGCCACAGCTCTTGGCTATACATTCTCCCAGTGTGACAGCCCCCCTGGAGAGAGGAAAGAGAGGATACCTTTTTTCCTTGGTTAACCCAACAAAAGTTCCAGGTCTGAGTTTCATTGGTTGAGTCTGACTCATTTGTCTGCCCTTGTGCCAAATTTTACACTCTGATTGGCTGGTCCTCGATCATGTGCCCATCTTAAACCAATCCCTGATTATGACCCGTTTTCTTTCTTTAAGGAAAAGAAAGCTGTTACCCCATGAAAGGGGCTGGTCAGGCAACCTCATGGGGCCCTCTCAAGCCACTGTGGCATGATTGGCGGGTTCCCAATCGCAGCTGCCTTTTCTCAGCTTCCAGAGGGCTGGAGCCCAGCTTAGGCGCCCTGAGCCAGGGGAGTGTGCAAGTCTGAGGCCCTCCCCCTGCACCTGTCCATCAATCAGAGCCAGCTCTCCTTTGGTCTGTCTCCTCTGTGGCTATTACATCACACGGGGTGGGGGTGGGGGGGGCAAATTGCTCAATGGCTGGCTGCTTTCTACCACCAGCAAGGGGCTGGCATTTCACCGCTGCGAGGTCGACCTTCCTGGAGCAGACAAGGTTGGCAACAGTTTAGGAAGGAGAACGTTATCCTCACCAGATCTTGGGGGACCATTCCAAAGCTCTCTTGAATTTAACCACGTATTTTAAACAGAGAACATCACACTTCCTGCACATTGTCAGAAAACCTTGCCTTTTTCCAAAGAGAGAAACCTCTAACACTCTAGACCAGTGCTGTCCAACAAGGCAGCCATTAAGCAGCTGAATGTGGCCCCTGTAAATGGAAAGGCACCTTACGTGTAAACACACATTTGATTTTGAAACTTAGTACCTCCCAAAAGGCGACATATATCAATAATATTACAATAACACCCATACGTTGAAGAGATAATATTTTGGGTATATTATGTTGAATAAAATATGTTATTAAAATCAATTTAGCCTGTCTCTTTTTATCTTTTTAACATGGCTGTTAGAAACTTTTAAATTAAAATGTGGTTCATATTATATTTCTCTTGGAAGGCACTAGACTTACAGGGAAAATTCCCTACGCATACTGTCTCATTTTCATCCCCCATTTTCAAGGTCAGATAGACACAAAGAGGGTTTTAAGACCTAGGCAGAGTGGAGGCATGTGACTGCACGAATATGTGTATTTCTCTGAGCATGTGAATGGGTGTGCTGTGCGTATACGTGACTCTGGATACTCGGAAGTGTGTGCGTGTGAGTCTGGGTGGGCGGGCAGATGTCTGAATGAGTGTGCTTCTGAGTATTTCTTTGAGTGGGGTCTCCAGGTGGAGGGAAAGCAGTTCCAGGGAAGGTCTTGGCACTGTTGCCTCAGATCCGTTCCTTTCCTCCAGGTAGACACACACACACACACACACACACACACACACGCGCGCGCACACACACAGCTTCCTGTAAAGATCCTGTTTGTTTAAAAACTTTATTTTTATTTAATACTAGAGGCTTGGTGCACGAAATTCGTGCAAGGGGCTCAGCCCCCGCCACAGCGGCTGCCTCTGCCCTCACAGCCACAGCTTCATCCAGAAGGTCATCCAGAAGGATGTCTGGTCTAATTAGCATATTATGCTTTTATTATATAGGATAATTGACACACAATGTTATAAAAATTTAAGGTATACAACGTGTTGATTTGATATATTTCAAAATGATGACTGTAGCATTAGCTAACTCCTCTTTCACAAGTTCCGGACCATTTGGTCTGCCTCCAGGTCTACGGGCTTCTCTTTTCCGTCCTTCCTGAGACCTCTGGTCTCCTAAGACCGCTCTTGATCTGGGGGTACGAGGATGCCCCAGGGTGGGAGGTTCTGGATCCCTGAAATTAGGAGGCTGACCTCTCCTTCCTCCCCCACACCCCAAACCCGAGATTTCCTCATCTGACGAGACACCTTCCGGGGGGGTGGGGATATGTGTGGACAGATTGGCAGACTGGGGATCATGGAGGCTGAAGAAATCTACATAAACCAGACCAGTATGCAGGCAGCAGCCGTCAAAGACGAGCAACGAGGGACACCAGCCAATAGGAAAGGTTAGACACCTTGGCATGGGGGGGTGGGGGGCGGGGGCGGGGGCGGGGAGCCAAGAGGGAGAGGTTGGGATGGGAGAGGTAGGAGCTGAGAGTGGGGGTCAAAGGGCTTCTTCCCCTCCCCAAAAGGTGTGAGTGTATGTGTAACCCACCCTCTTCTCTTAACCAAGAAGCAAATCTTAGTTAACTTTTATCCCCAGAAATGTGTGTGTGCAGGGGTTTGGTGAACCAAGACTTCTGAGCCCCCCTCCCTCCCTCCCCCGACCCCAGAGCTCCAGGAAGGTTTCCAAACCCTTCCCACTGACCCGCCCACAGGTGTAGATGACCCCAACTATGCGAATATCCCCGTGATCTTAAGAAAACAGGATCATCCAAAGGGCAGTCACTCACCCTCCAAGAGTGAGGGTAAGGGGCCCTGCCAGCCCACACCCCACAGCTTTGGGAGGGGCCTGTGGGAGGGCGTTGCTGGGACAGTGGGCAGCACTGGAGGTCAGGATCAGTGGTGTGGGGTGTGGTGGCATCAAGGCTTGTGAGACAGTGGTGGGGTAGCTCTGTAGGCGGTGATGATGATGGCATGGTGCTGGTTGTGTCGGTGGAAGTGTTGGTGAAAGTTTGGGTGATGGTGATGGTGATGGTGAATAGGTCACAGCTGCTAATGGCATTGGGAAGAGTGGGCGAGGTGACAGCGCTATTATGGTGTTAGAATCAGTACTAATAGCTGAACCCTGGAGGTCACCTGCCCTGCCTCTGTCCCGTCCCAGCCCGGTCCAGGCCATCCTCGGACTCTGCCCAGTGTTTGCACAAAGCTTTCACAAGCCTGTACATTCTTCTCGCCCTGATTTCCATCATTCTGTTGGTCTGGGTTCTGGTGAAGAGTGAGTAGGCTTTCAGTTGGTGGGGGGGCAGGGACTGGGCAGTGTGGAGGGGTCCACAGGAGCTGGGGGCCCCAGTGTTCCCATTGTCCCCTTTCCCCCTAGTCCCCCCCCCCCCCCCCGCCTGCTCACAGGGTTGCAGAACTGGGACAATTGATGTGTTTTCCTACCCTCCCCCATCCTGAACAGATTCTGTGATGTCCCAGGAGCTGCTGGTCTTGAAAATGGAGATCTCGAATGGTGAGGGGAGGCCCTGGGGGAGACCAAGGGTCAGGGTGGGGGTAGAGAGAGCAGCCATGACACGGACATCCCCACCCGCACCCGCAGTCTCTATCTCCACACGTGAATGGGAGGTGGGGCAAAGGAAGGGCTGGAGCTACGTCAAGCAGAGCCTCAGTAACGCCAAACAGAGCATTGACTTGGCCAACCGCAATGTGCAGGCTGGGAATGAGAAGCTGAAGAAGCTGACGGAAGGTGCCCTGTGGGCCCCACTGCGGGACTGTGGTGCTGGGAGGCGGGGAGGTGCCCTGTGGGCCCCACTCCGGGACTGTGGTGCTGGGAGGCGGGGAGGTGCCCTGTGGGCCCCACTGCGGGACTGTGGTGCTGGGAGGCGGGGAGGTGCCCTGTGGGCCCCACTCCGGGACTGTGGTGCTGGGAGGCGGGGAGGGGACAGCAGAGGCCCTCCCTCCCGGAGTGCAGGGTTTGGAGGGCTGATGGGTATCACCTGTTAGTAATGTGGGGGTATTTAAATGCTGCTGGGCACCCCAAGTTCAGGGCTCTGCAGCACCCCAGCCTGGAGGTTTGGGCAAGGTGGGGGCCTTGTCTGAGGCTCCACCCCAGTTTTCTCCTGTCTCCTCCCACCCCCAGACATAACCCAAATCAAGACTCAATTACAGCAGATCTCTGTGGTGCTGAAGAAAATGCAAAATCCACGTAAGCCAGGGCCAGGGAGGTGGAGCCTGGATGTGCCCTACTTCTCGCCTAGGGGGACCTGCCTGATCTGGGATCGCTACTTCCCTTTACAGAGCCCACACAGTCCACTCGGTAATCAAGAGGACATGGAGGCCGGGGCGCAGCCCGGAGGACAGGGGCGCACCTCCCGTATATATGACGCATGGGGCCCAGTCTTGTCTGACCTGTTCATCATCCCCACATATCAAATCCTATGTCACGGCGAATGAGTGTTGTGGAGTTGCGTGTGTGCGTGTGTGTGGGGTAAGCATTTCATGGAGGGCAGGTCTTGGGTGAATGTTGAATGTGGAGTCACAGAGGGTGTGGTGTGCACCTGTCACTGTCCATGTGACACATGTATATCATAGCATGTGGTGTCATGCACATCACAGTGGGTAGCTGTGTCAGCAGGGACCACAAAGGTGTGTCACAGTGAGGGTGGGTGCTGGTGACACATGTTACCCATGCATGTTTCACTGTTGGTGTGAATATGCATGAATGCCCTGCAACATGTTACATGTATGTATAAACGTGTCATGGTGGAATTGGTGGGAGCACCCCGTGGGAGTGTAATTGCGGGTGTCACAGTGTGTGCCTGTCACTCCCTGTGCCCCGAGAACAATGTGTCCATGTGAGTGTGCCTGACTGTCACCAAGGGAGCTGGGAGCACACACGCCCGTGTGCCTGTGTTTCTGCATCACATTTTGTGGTTCATGGAAGTAAAGGCCAAGGGAAAACAATGTGGCTTTCAGATCTGTTATTGGGGCGACTGGGGGCCCTGGGGAGGGTCTGCAAGTGTCTGGACTTGGGGGTGGGGAACATCACACCGTGAACAGGTGGACGTGTGCCAGAAATGCTGGCGATGGGCACGCGTCTCTGTCTCTGGGTGAAGTATGGTAGCAACCATTTCAGATTGAAACTGTAGTTTAACTCTAACCCTATTGTTTGGCTTCACAATAGAAAGGTTATTTTGATTTTCTGAATTGTATAAATCATCCCTTTTGATTGAACGCCTTATTGATTAAATGACTATTCCATTGATTGTTATCATACTGGTCTTAGAGAGCACATTCTTCTGTACCTGGGAAACAGGACAGCACAATTACCCTAAATTGTTTTAGTGGCCGCAGGTGGTGCGTTCCAGCTGACTCAGTGGTCCCGAGACCAGGACAGCACAATTACTCTAAATTGTCCTGACAACTCAGTGGTCGGGAGACCCGAGGGCTCCAGATAATGTGTTTCTATCAACTCAGTGATCCGGAGACCCAAAACTGTAATTTAGATAACATGCCTAAGTTTGACCCAGGTTACCCAAGGGCTCTAGATAATGTATTTCTGTCAATTCAGTGACCCCGAGACCCGAAACTGTAATTAACATGCTTAATTCTGCTTCTGTAATCTGCTTTTTGCAAGCCAGGTGCCTCATTCCAAACCCTGAGATGTAATCAATACCTTTGTGATTTTTGCCTATATAAGTCTGGTTTTGCCACCATCTTATTGCTATGAGATTTGGGAATGGCCCCTCATAGTCCCGGATTGCAATAAATGTGACTCTTTAATTCGACTTCTTGAAGCGTCCTTCTGTGATTCGCCGGGTACATTACAACATGGGCACCTGTGTACACGGTGCATCTCAGGCCACACCCTGGGGCACGCGCTCAAGGGCACAGGGTCTCAGCCGCTCCCTGGGTACACGGTCCTGGACACGGGGACCCACTCCAGACGGCATTCTCACACACCCGCGCGCCCCCAGCCGTGCCCCCTGAGCACGTGACCCTCGGTGCCGCTCCCCTGCACGTGGGCCTCCAGGGCCAGCGAGACCCCAGGCGCGGGCCGCCCTCCCGGGCCGGCCTCGGGGACACGCGCGCCCCCCAGCGGCGGGTTTGGGGAACCGCGGCGCGCAGCCCGCCCCGCCCCGCCCGCCCGCCGCGCCTGCGCACACGGGGCCGTTTACGGCGCCGTAAAGCAGCTCGGCCGAGCCGCGGCCCGCAGTTCCCGGTGAGACCTCGCCCGCCCGCGCCCCCGCCCGCCGGGCCCCGTGGGCTCCACACCCCGCCCCGCGGGCCGATGGGTCCTGGGCCGGGGTCCCGGCGTCCGCGCCCCCCGCCGCCGGCCCCGCCCCAGAAGGACGCAGGAGGCTGGGCTCCTCGGCCCCCCTCCGCCCGCCGCCCGCCCGGTAGAGGGTGTCAGCCCCGCGCTCCCGTCTCCCGTCTCCCCTCTCCCTGCAGCGGCTGCACCTGCTGGGTCCCGTCCCGCACGCAGACCGCCGGGGGCGTCTGGGCACCCAGACCTGCGGCCTCAGCCCCGTCCCGCCCGGGGGGGGCGGGGGCTGGGTTCTCAGTTCCCCCTCCGACCTCCTCGGGCGGCGGCTTCTCACTGAGTGGGCGAGGGTGGAGGAGAGGGTGCCTCAGCGCCCTTGGGGTCCCCCATTCGCCGTCACCCCCCACTCCCTTCAGAGCCACTGCGGAGGTCTGAGCAGCCCCTCCCGAGTCTCCCCCACCGACGCTGAGGCTCCTAGCGCTGGGATGGAGGATCACAGCGCCCCCTAGGGGCTCCCTTAAACCCCGGTCTAAGGTCAGCCCCTCCCTCCGGCCCCATCACTTTCCTGGGAGCCTGGGGGTGAAGGGCTCCCAACTCCTCCGCCCCCCCCCCCCCCCCTGCGAATCCTACAGACGCAGGTCCGTCCTGTCCCGAGGCGGCGCTGCCCACCGCAGGCCGGGGCCGCTCACTGCCCCCACCCGGCCCTGGGTCTGACCCCCCCCCCCTCCCCCCCCCGGCCCTAGTGTTCCAGTTGCTGCCACAGGTGGTGGACGGGTGCAGAGGTGCTTTTCTCGCACCAGGAATTAGCCGGGAGGAGGGGTTTCTTGTGTCCCCACCCCGTCTCCCCCCACCTTACCCGTGGCCCGCCTGCCCCCCATCTGTCCTTCGCCGGATAGGGCTCATGGGGACTAGATTTGCGCCCAGGTGAATGTCCCTTTTCCTTCCACTCTTCCCAGCGGGGAGGCCCGTGACAGGGCCCCGGGCTGGGCTGGGTCCCGGGGTTCCTCCCCCGCCCCTGACCCTGCGGCCTGGTCTCCCCGCAGGGAAGCGGTGCGGCATGGAGGCGCGCTTCACGCGGGGGAAGTCGGCGCTGCTGGAGCGCGCGCTGGCGCGGCCGCGCACCGAGGTGAGCCTGAGCGCCTTCGCGCTGCTCTTCTCCGAGCTGGTGCAGCACTGCCAGAGCCGCGTGTTCTCCGTGGCCGAGCTGCAGGCGCGCCTGGCCGCGCTGGGCCGCCAGGTGGGCGCGCGCGTCCTCGACGCGCTGGTGGCTCGCGAGAAGGGGGCCCGGCGCGAGACCAAGGTGCTGGGCGCCCTGCTCTTCGTCAAGGGCGCCGTGTGGAAGGCGCTCTTCGGCAAGGAGGCCGACAAGCTGGAGCAGGCCAACGACGACGCGCGCACCTTCTACATCATCGAGCGGGAGCCGCTCATCAACACGTACATCTCGGTGCCCAAGGAAAACAGCACGCTCAACTGCGCCAGCTTCACGGCAGGCATCGTGGAGGCGGTGCTCACGCACAGCGGCTTCCCCGCCAAGGTCACGGCGCACTGGCACAAGGGCACCACGCTCATGATCAAGTTTGAGGAGGCTGTCATCGCCCGAGACCGGGCCCTCGAGGGCCGCTGACCCCGCCGGAAATAAAGGATGAGAGAGCACCCTTCCCAAGTGTGTCTTGTGTCTTGTGTCTTGTGTCTTGTGTGGGTGCGTCCCAGATCCACCCAGCAGGACCCAGATCCCTGCTCCAGGCTGAGGCTGTGTGTACCAGGGAGGGCCAGGTTGGACCCAGCTTGGGCTTTCAGATGGGCCTGGGGGCGCCCAGAGACAGCGGGGAGGTAGACCAGGCAGAAGGAGTCACTGGAGTGGGGAGTTGCTGGTAGTTTTTGGAATCACAATTGGAGGCTAAATATAGGCTGGAGAGGTGTGGGGCAGGGGAAGGATCGGGAGAGATTCCTCTAGGCCAGCGCTAGCACGCTTCTCTCACAAAGGTCCGGGTAGTGAAAAGTTGGTGCCCAGCAGTGGGTCAGGATTGGGTGAGGCTGTGCGCCTAGAAAACAGGCTGACCACTGCTTCAGACTTGCTACTCAAAGTGCGGTCCAGGGACCAGCAGCATCAACAAATCTGGGGCGTTTGTGGGTAATACAGACTCTCAGGCCCAGCCCAGACCCACTGCCACAGAGTCCGCATGTTAGCAAGACCCCCAGGGGGTTCCTGTGTACCTTAGTTTGAGAAGCAGCGTGCTAGGGCACAGAGTATTAAATCCTCCTGAGTTTCAGATCCTGCAGGTTTGGTGGCCAGGAGATTTGCATGTCTAATAAGTTCCCAGGAACCGCTGAGGCATCGTGGGCTCCCCTTTGGGAACTATGGCCCTAGACACCTGGCTCTCAAGGGGAAGTAGGTGAGCTCACTTCAGTCATCTGGACGCTTAAAATAGTTTGAAGTTAATTTCTAAAAACGCTATTGGTGCACACACATCCCTTGTTTAAAAAAATACACCTCAGGCAGCCCTTTCCCTCCTGCCCTCTACCGAGACCCTAGTCACTCCTCCCGAGGGGAATCGTGCCGCTCTTGGGGAACCTCGTTCGAGTGCCCGCTATCCCCGTGCCCCGCGGCACCTGAACGAGTCTGTTTCCAGAGGGACCTCAGTGCGGCCGGCTGGGCCCCTCACTGCGTGCGGAGGGCGGGACCCAGCACCTGCCACGCAGGCAGCAGCATCCCCTCATTTCACAGGCCACAGAGCAGTTCCCAGGAACGGGTCTCTCACCCATGGTCACGCATTCATTCATTGGACAAATGTCTATGGAGTGCCTGCTCTTTGCCAGGTGTTGGGGACGCAGCTGAGAACAAAACAAAGGTACCTGCTCTGAAGGTAGATGCCCGTGTTCTAGCCAGCAGAGACATCAGTAAATCCAACATTTTGTTAAAAGAAGGAGTGCCGCGGCGAGAAAGTGCAGTGGGCGAAACATCAGAGGTGGGGTGTCAATTTAAATGCGGGGCAGAGAGTGCTCAGGGTAGGTCTCGCTGAGGAGCGTGGGGAGGCGACAGCCAGCCAAGGCCTGAGGCTGGAGTAAGCCCAGGTGTTTAAGGAACAGGGAGGAGGCCGGGGTGGTGGGAGGAGAGAGGAGATGAAGCTGGGGAGGTGAGGTGCATGGGAGGGATTCTGCGATGGCATAGTCCTTTAGGACTTTGGCTTTTTCTCTGAGCTAGAAGGAAACTTCTGGAAGGTTTGGGACAGTGAAAAGTGAGACCACACCAGTTCAGGTGGAGCGAGGAGGGGGTGAAAAGTGGGCGGGCTCTGAATATGGCTTCATGGCAGAGCCCATGGCTTTCCTTATGGGTTTGGAGGGAAGGGAAGGCGAGGACCACCCACTGTTGGCCCGAGGGACTGGTAGAGTGGAGTCATGAGTTCCCACACGGAGCATTCCGAGGAGGGGGCCGGGGGAGACCAATCTGGGGGTGGGCAGCAGGCAGAGAGAAAAGGTGATCTGGGATGCCAAGGGTCTAGCTCTGTCCCTTACTCCTGAGCCCAGGACTCCCAGGTGCCAATAGAGTGCCCTCCCCAGGCCCCTGGGTCATGGTTGGACCTCGGTCTGGCCCTTGACTCCCAGGGTCCCAGGTGGTCCAGTGTGGGCACCTGCCATGATTCGTCCTCCTGCTGCAGTGGACCTGAGGGTCACAGGAGCGGGCCTGGCTCTTCTCTAGGCCAGGTACTGGGGGTGGGGCATTAAGGAGGGGTGGCCTCAGAGCCTGGCCTGCCTCCCTCCTGCCCTCGGTGCTGGGCTGACGGTGGCCAAGCCTGGGCCTGGTGCTGCCTGGGCCACTGAGTGGGAGTGGGGCTGGAACCTCTGGACCTGTGCCCATCCGGGAGGGAGCGCCCAGCACTCAGGCTGATGGGCAGGGGTTCTTGAGGGGGGAGCTCTGAGCACTGGAAGGCAGGGAGGCGGTGACAGCAGGTTGGGTTGCGGGACGAGGGACAGGCCCTCTGGGGAGCTGGCAGGAGCCGGGGAAGGGTCACTGTCCTTTGGGCAGGAGGAGTTGTCAGCAGGACTCTTCAGCCATGAAAGGGGCGCCCAGGCCTTGGTTGGGGTCCTCGGGGTCCCAGTTTGGCCCTAGCTATTCCCGTATTTGAGGTGGGGGAGTCACAAGGAGGGGCACACGTGGCAGGTAGGCAGGGGGCTGTCAGGGTCCACGTCTGGGGGACCGAGGCGGCCGGCGGGCAGTCAGCAGGTGGCCAGCCGGTCACATACCCAGCCGTCGAGATAGCTGCTGCAGAAGGCATCGTTCCACTGCCCGGAGCCCAGCAGCATCACGCAGTCCTCGCCCTGGCCCCCGTTGTTGGGTTCTCCCGGCCGCCAGTTGCTGGAGCAGAAGGCTCAGGTTGGCGTCGGGGGAAGGGCCCCACTGCCTTCAGCCTAGACACACCCCTTGAAACCTGGGTCCTCTCACCCCACCCCTGGGCCCCACCCCATCTCTGCAGCTCAGAGACACACCTGCCTTCTCTCATCCCAGCTCCCCAGCCCTCCCAGCCCTGACCATCTGCCGCCATTACAGTCCAGAAGCTCCCCCAAGTCTGGGCCTGGGGCACGTGCCTCCAAATACCCTCCCCTCTATCACAGCGATGTCCCCCTTTCCGCATCAGCCTGGGGCCGTCTCCTTTTCATTCCCCTTCTCACCTGTAGTCCAGGGGGCTCTGGTCCATCCAGACAAACTCTCCCTCTGTGTGCAGGTCCCGGAGGCCGATCCAGGAGCCCTTCTTGTTGCTGTGTGTGGCCAGGAAGTCCTAGGAGCAGAACAGGCTGGAGGGCTGGGGTGCTGGGCGCGGTCCCTCCGCCACCCAGGAGGCTCTGTCGGGCTCCCCTCCCCCCGACCGCATGCTGGCGGCACCTGCTCCTCCTGGCTGTGGATGCTGACCAGCCGCCCCCGGAGCCCGCTGCAGGCATTCCGCGCCTGGATCCACCGCTTGGCGCCCTCTCCGAAGTAGTAGCACTTCCGCTGGAAACTGACCCACCTCTCAGGGCATGTGTTACACATGGAGCCTGCGAGAGGAGAGACTCAGGGCAGCTGTGGTGGGCACCACAGGGGGTGTTGTGGCTGGTGCTGTGCTGGGCACGGTGGCAGGCATGGTGGCGGACAGCTGGTGGGCACCTTGCTGGGTACCCTGGGTGGGTACAGTGGGCAGAGGGGGTGGCAGCATGTCTCCCGGAGTCCCTCTTGGGATCCGGGCTGAAAGCAAACCCACCCGGAGCCTAACGGAGGGTCTCGCCGGTACCCCGCTTCCCTGGGACTCGGATGCGGACACGCAAGACCAGCCCCAAACAGGAGCACCTCCACTGCCACACCATCGCCACACCTGGCCTCCAAGAGCTGAACATCGGCCACCGACACAATGGCCATCAGCATCGCTCGGCCGCCAGCACTTCAGTCATCAGTGACACCCCTGCAGCTGCACGCCTGCGGCACTCACACCCCCTCATCGCCACACCACCAGCTCCACGCGGCAGCGCCCCAGGCACCAGTGTCCCGACCACAAACATTTTCGTGGTCAGAAGCACCTGGTCACCAAACCGTGACTACAAATGCCTCCATAGCCATAGCATCTCATTTGCCAACACCATGTCCCCAAACACCACCACTGTCAGCAACACCTTTAGCACTAGTATCACCGCAGCAACGTCTATCCAACGCCAACACCATGGCCGACACCGCCTTCACCAACATCAGACCAGCCATGTCTTAACCACCAGTGCTGACGGCAGTCTGAGGCCAGGCCCCGGCACTGTCCTCGCCAGCTGCTCCGATGACAGCCCTGCCGCCATCACTGCCAGCACCCCCAAACCAGCCCTTGGCCACTTTCGGGGATATCTTGACTTTCTTCTCATTGGCCAGGAGAGGCTGTGGGAGGGGGAAGGGGCTGAAGGGCTGGGTCCCCATGGCCTCGACCCAAGGCCACCTTGGTCTCTCCCCTTGGCCCCCCCCCCCCCCGCCCAGGACACTCTCAGGCTCTGTCACTGCCACCAGCATTCCAGGCGGAGGGTTGAACCCACTGTTACTGGGCCCACTCACGCATGCTTTTAATCGATTTTCTTCGAGTGACATCTGGGAGGGGTTGTCGTAAGGAGTCTGGGGTCCACAGAAGGTTGTGAAACCCTGGGAGGAGCAGAGCTGGGTGTGCGTCTCACTCACGGAATGGCACCCGGTACGCGGCCCCCTGGGGAAGAGGACATCTCTGGCCCCTTCAAGAAAAAGCTGGGGAAGGTGTCGTGGCTGTGTGCCACCCAGCCACTGACAGACAGCCCTGGAGCTGGCGCTCCATCAGAGGTGGCCCTTCAGAGTGAGCGCGGCCCAGGCCCCGGCCCAGCCTGCCCCGGGGAGCGCGGGGCTTCCTGCTGGAAATCCCACAGCCACACCGCGTTCCCGGGGCAGCCCTGCCCCCCAGGCACAGATCCTTCCTCTTCTCTCACCCAACCGGGCAGCCGGGGCTTCCCAGAGGTGAAAGACCAAAAGTCAAGGGGGGCGGGTGGAGGGGGACTTCAGGTTAAAGGCACAGTGACTGGATAGCCACTCCCTCTGCAGGCGGCTGGCCTGCTGGGGCCCTTGTACCTGCCAGCGTTGCCTCCCTCACGCCACCTCTGGGGCTTATGCCATGATGCTCATCATTCCCACTGCCGCCACGGTGACCCCGCCACAGCCCTTGGGCTGGCCAGACCATCTTCTGGGGGGGCTGTGGCTGAGGGCATCTACTCATGACCCTCTGCTGAGCCACGGTGGACAGAGGGCTGGTCAGTGAAGAGAACCCGGTGGCTGCTTTAACCGGGAGGAAAACATGTGGCCCTCACCCTCAGGTCGGTGGAGGGGTGCAGCCGGACTCAGAACGGGCTTCCTCGTGTGCCCTCCGTTGGCCCTGCCACACACATACACACATACCCCTCCACGTTGTCACTCACACACCTGCCCTCACATGCACGCACCACCACACACCTGTGCTGTCACATGATTGTATCAGCGCACCTGTGGGCACAGGCGCACACACTCACCGTTGGACACGCGGAGCTCTATCCACAGCTTTGCCACCTCCTCCTGGAGTCTTTCCAACGAATTCAAGGCCGAGCGTCTCTCATTTAAGCCTTGGGTGGTTGGACGGGGGCAGCGGTCACAGACAAACTTGTGGGCCTCTCCGCCCCCCGCGCCCCCCGCCCCCCGCCCCCCGCAACCCCAGGCCCTCCCCGCCCCCCGCCCCCCGCCCCGGGCCCCCCCAAGCCTCACCCTGGGACTTGAAGTTGCTTAGGTCCTCTACCAGTCCATCCAGGTTCTGAGAGAGCTCGGAGTCTGATGGAGGGGGTGGACGGGGGGACAGGACGGGTGTCAGGAGTGAGGCCTGAGGGTCTTGAGGCCCCCATGGCTCTAGGACAAGCCCCCCCCGCCCCTCGCCCCCAGCTCTCACCCTGAATTTCCATTCTCTTCTGTTCTGCTTGCATTTCCTCCATGTTCTGCAGCACCTGGGCCACTGGTTGCAGGGCAGAGGGCTCAGTGGTGAGCAAGGCCTGAGGGTCTCGGGGTCCCCATGGCTCTAGGACAGGCCCCCCCACTCTGCCCCCCCTCACCCCCAGCTCTCACCCTGAATTTCTGTTCTCTTCTGTTCGGCTTGCATTTCCTCCATGTTCTGCAGCACCTGGGCCACTGGTTGCAGGGCAGAGGGCTCAGTGGTGAGCAAGTCTGTCAGGGCCACCCATTCCCCACACAAGCCCCCTTGGCTCCGAGCCGGGGGCTTAGGGCCGCCTGCTCACTTTGCAGCTCACAGGTGGTCTGCAGCACTGTCTCCACAGGCACCCCAGTTCCCTTCCTCTTTCTCCCAGACACCCCCTGAAGCCACTCACCCTGGGCTTTCTGGGCCATCTGGTCACCCTTATGTCCTTCCATGTCCTTGGAAACCTGAGAGACTGGGGAGGGGAGGGAACACGTGTCCTCAGGAGCCAGGCAGGCAGGTCCTTGAACCCCCCACCCCTTCCCCCAGCCCCAAATGCAGGGACCCCCTCCCATAGTCACAGGCTGCAGCTTTGGGTTTTTAATTTTGGTGGTAATAGTACTCAGGAAAGTGCCGGCAATAGAAAGAATTTGTGTACCTTTCCTGTCCCCAGAATTAAATGTAAGAAGCAGGCATTTAGTGAAAGCTCACTGGGTGTTAGGGGCCTTCTAAGTGCTGCACGAATCTCAGCTCGTTTCCACCTCACAGCACCGAAATGGTGCCCATTGTACAGGTGGCTAAGCTGAGGTGCGGAGCAGTTATACAACAGTTTGCCAGGCGCTTCTCAGAGCCCTCCCCTGCCCTCCAAGAGTCACTGGCTCACCCCCACACGGGGAAGGAGGAACACAGGCTGCCCCTGGAGTTCCTGGGGGGACACTGGAGCCCAGTTCGCCTCCCACATCCCACAGTGGTCAGTGGCAGAAGCAGGACAAGAACCAGGGTTTCCTAGCCCTTCCCACGCTGCCCGGCCCCCCATACCGTTCTGGGCAGCGATGTCCTCCAGCTGTCGCAGGCCCTGCACGGTGTCCCGGTCTGGGCAGGGGAGAGGGGAGGGGAGGAGAGGAAGGGGTTTCAGCTGCCCCACCGGCCCACAGCCCGCCTGCCAGCTGGGGTGGAGGCCTCGGGGATGTCATGTGGGAGGTGCCCAAAGGGCGGGAGATGGGGTTGCTGAGTGGGAGGGCCCCCCCCCCCCCCCCGAGAGAGGGGCTGGAGGGGCAAAGTGGGAGCCGTGCTGGGAGAACGGGCTCCCAGGGCGGTGCTGGGCCCCAGGATCTTGGAGTGGGTGTCTGGGAGGGAACGGGGGGCCCATGGGCGGGGGGTGTTCTCACGCCACAGGAGAAGCAGGGTCAGCAGCCCAGCCCACAGTGTGGCCGTCACCAGCCCCAACAGCGCAACCTGCGTCCCACGCCTGCAGCACCGCCGCCCTCTGCGAAGCTGCAAGACGTCTGCCAGGGGAGGGGGCGAGGAGGGTGCAGGCTGAGGCTGGGCTCCCGCCCGCCCCTCCCTTCCCCGGGCTCAGGGCCCCAAGGCCAGGGAGCCTGCCAGAGCCCACCCCTTCCCCTCACTCTACATTCGAGTCCACCTGCACATCTGCCCATGCACCCCCGGATCTGCTGCTCCTTCTGCCCCAACTGCAGCCGTCAGCAAGCCTGACTCGGGGCCAGGCCCTTCCAGAGAGACCCGCGGGTGGGGGTGGGGGGCGGGCCTCCTCCATGTGCTCCTCTGCAGGTGGCCGAGCCCCCCAGCTCTCCTGCCCCTCTGCCCTTGTACAGCGTCAGCCACCCCCGCTAATGTCAGGACCCCAGGCCTCACCCGAGCTCCTGCCCCCACAAAACCCTACCTTGATGCTCCACTGCAGGTCCAGCCCCCCGCCCCTCATCCTGGCTGTGAGGGCTCATCATGCTGAGCCTCACGTGCTCTGAGTCCCCTGCGACCTGCTCCTCCACCCTGCTGGGCTCCGGCCCCAGCTGGAGCCGCCTCGCTGTTGGGAGGCTGTTGGGTCAGAGCAGGGAGGTAGCCCGGCTTCCCTTTCTGAGTGGCTCTGTGCCCGCCCCCCACAGTGGGCCTTTCCTAGAAATTCACTCTTCTTCCCAGGGAGGGCCCAGGAGCCGGGGGGTGGAAGGAGGAGGTCGGGGTTCTGGCTTTTGCCAATGTCAGCTCCAGAGTCCTCTCACCTGAGTATAAGCCTTCCTCCATGGCAGTGCTGACGGGGTGCTCCCCGCTGCCAAGACAGTCCACGCGACGGGCTCAGTCACGGCTGTGGTTGGGATCTGTGTTCTAACAAGGGTTGCGGGGAGACATCAGCTCTAGGCCCTGGCACAGGACAGCATCTGAGGTGGAGAAGCTCTGAGCACCTGCGGATGTTGCTTCGTTCACGGCCAGGCGTCAGTGTCGCCGGGAAGAAGGAGACACGGCTGGTGTGAAGGGTCGCAGGCTTCAGGCCAGAGTCGAGCGCCCAGGCCCATCCCATGGGAGGCACACGGCAGAGGCTCAGTGAGCGCGCACCTGTGATCTGGGCGCGTGGCTGAGCCTCAAAACCAATTTCCTTCTTTATAAAATGACTATATTAAGAATCCCTCTGCTCGGGGGAGTGTCGGCTCTCTATGAACGGCCTGGCACAGTCCTATCCTCAGCGCTTGTCAGTCTTGCTGCCTGTGCAGCCTTGGCCCGGGACGCAACCTTTCGGAGCCTCAGTTTTCCCCTCAGTAAAATGGGGCCCAACTCATGAGGCCACGGTGGGATCAATGGGAGAATACTGTACGCGAGGCTTCAGCACAGGCTGGACACAGCGGGTCTTCAGATGCTGAGCCTTTACCCGGCATCTGCCCTGTGCGGCCCCGCAGGGGAACGAGAGCCCGGTCACCAGGCAGCAGCTACCCCTCCTGCCAACCTTTCCAAACACCTTTAAAGGCGCTTGCTTTTATTTCGTTTTGGTTAATCCTCACTGAGGATCTTTCCACTGAATTTTAGAGAGAGTGGAAGGGAGGGAAAGAGGGGGAGAGAGAAAAATGCCGATGTGAGAGAGACACATCCATCGGTTGCCTTCAGCAGGTGCCTTGACCTGGGCTGGGGATCCCGCCTACAACCCAGGTACATGTCCTTGACTGGGAGTTGAACCTGCGGCCCTTTGGTATGAGGACCTGATGCTCTAACCACTTAGCACACTGGCCAGGGTGAACTCACTTGACTTTAAAGCACCTACTATGTGCTGAAGAGCGTGGACTTTGGGTCAGACAAGCCTGGGGGTCGCTGGCTGCCCCTCTTGCTGTGTGACTGTGGGCAAGTGGCTTCCCCTCTCTGAGCCTGGGGGGATGGAGATGTGGGGCTGCCCGGCTCTGATTACTGGCAGCTCGAACCAAGTATTTGGTCATCTTGGAGGAGGCCAGAATGTCACCATTCTGTGGCGGGACATGCCTGAGCCCAAGCTGGTCAGACCTGGGGCTGAGTCCTGACTTCTCCCTGGATGAGTGACTCAGTTAGCTCCCTGTAAACTGGGGCGAGTGACAGTGCTGACTCCACTGATGAAGTACAGGGGCTGTGAGAAGCCGGCATGCAGTGGCTGCTCAGTGACCCACCGGTGGGGAGCGGACAGCTGGGAGGGTAAGTGATTTGCCCCTTCCCAGTGCTTGAACCCAGGAACTGTGACCTTGAAGCTTGTTTGCTCAACCACCTGGGCCATGGCCTCCTGGCGGGCATCTGCTGGCAAGCATCAAGGTGCCGGTGCAGAAACCAGGCCATTTTTCCAGCACGAGAACTCTGACCTCTGCTTACAACCGTCCATGGCTCCCCAGGGCCCTCCATCACCGGCCCCCAGTGCACACGCCTCACTCATCTGTTTGGCTGGCTTCCACTCTGCCCAGCCAGCTCCCTGCGCACCGAGAGTCTGTCCAGGACACCCGTCACCACTGCCCTGCCCTTCCCCAGACACCTCCTCTGGGTGATCCCGCGAGACTCAGCCCAGAGCTCGTTTCTTCTAGCAAACCAAGGTCCACTTCCCACCACCAACCCCGACACACACACACACACACAGAGTCACACGTGTGCACACACATTCACACACTCACACGGGCACACCCTCAGAGGCATGCACACACAGGCACACATTTGCACAGTGACAAGCATCACACATTCACACTCACGCATATGCGTCCTGTGTGAGTTGCTGTCCTCCCGGTCCGTTGGGGCCACTTGCAGAGGCCGCAGGCTGCAGTGAGGAGCTGAGCCTGGAGGCACACTTTCTCCTGAGAGCAGAGCCGCCGGCTCTATGGTCACAGACCTGATCGTGGGCGCGCCCGGATGAGCGCGTCCATGCATGGCCGCATCTGTTGCCCACAGCCCGGCAGAGTCCCTTCTATTATTATCTCCATGTCTCAGGTGAGCAAACTGGTTCAGAGACGTCACCCCACGTTCCCAAACTGCTAATGGAGGTGAGTGGTAGAGCCAGGGTTTGAACTACAGTGACTGGGCGGGAAGAGGGGAGAGAATGGGAGAGGGAAGGAGAAAAGAGAAAGAAGGACACGTGAGATAACATGTTAAAATTGTGGTCAGATATTGGGAATTTTGTTGTACAGTTTAATTTAGTAGCAACATGTACTAAGCACACTCCTTAGCAGCCTAGATGTAGTAATACATTTAATGTTCATAATCACCCCGTAAGGTAGATGCTTCGTCACCCAGACTGCCTTATGGGTGAAGGATATGAAGCACAGAGAGGTTAAGTAACGTACCCAAGGTCACACAGCTCATACGTGGCAGAAGCAGGATTTGAACTCAGACAATGTGAGTCTCAAGTCTAAAGCCCTAACCATTATGCAACCTAGCCTTGTATTTACAGGGACTCCTTGGCACTTTACCCATCTCACTCTTTATCCCTACAACAGCGGTCGCCAATCTTTCGGACCGCACAGATCACCAGTCTGTGGACCACTGGTTGGCAACCGCTGCCCTATACCATGTCCCCTGACCCTTAAACCCACCCCCACTTTCAATCGGGGACTGCCCAGTGCCAAACACCCTACTCTCGGATGGCCTGCCTTATCCCCCCGGCTCCACACCCTGGCTCTCGCTCTAGAGGATGTCCCCTTGTGCCCCATGCCCCAACCAGACCTGAGCGGGCAGCCACCCGATGGGGAGGGTCCTGGCTGGAATGTCCCCGGGAGAAGGTGCTCCATGCCAGCAGCACGCGCTGCCCTGTCTGTCACTTGTGTCCCCAGCATGGGGTCTGGAGCCTCTGTACATGGCTACTGACTGAGCGACCGGGCTGGGACACTCATTCTGCACCCCCACCTTGATCTGGGCTAATGGTGGGGCGTGAACCCATTGCATGGCTGTCAAGGGACAGAGGGTGACCGCTTTAAGTAGGGAAGTGTCGAGTGGGCATCAGAGAGAGGCCACTGGGGCCTCATGCTGTCCTTTGTCCACCCAGCCGCCCAGGGCCTTGGCGGGGGTGGGGGAGGGAAGGGGAACGTTGAGAGGACTGTTTTGGAGGGCCTGGCAGGGACGGGGGCTGTCACTGGGTCCAGGGGCCAGAGGAGGTAGCCTGGAGCGCAGCTGTGGGATGGAGAGAGCAGGTTGGTCTGAAAGAGACAGGCCTTGGCAATGGGTACTCAGAAGATGCTGTGAAAAAGACCGGTTTCAGCCCAGTGTCTGGGTGGACAGTGGGGCTGTCCTAGCGATGCGGACACAGAAAAGATGAGGACAAAGTTTTGGGACAAGTTCTGTCGGGCACAGTGAGGACACAGGCCGGAGGCTAGAGGGCGGGGCTGGGTTGGAGTTTGGGGTTTCCCGACCTGCTCGGCCCCCGGGGCTCTGGCGACAGCCACACGCGGACCCGCGGCGTCTGCCCGGGCTCCGTGGCTCGGTCCGTGCGGTCCCTGCCAACCATCAGTCTAGAGAAGCGACGCTTTGGGGGTGAAATCTCAATGGGGGTCCCCGTCACGCGATCGCCCCCTCCTTCCCCTCTGCAGTATCAGCTCGTGTCTCTCACCCGCTTTAGGGGAAAAACAGGAAACTGTGCGGATGTGGACCCAGATCTGAGGTTATCGGTTCTTCTTTCAGGGTTGGGATCCTCCGCGCCTCCCTCATCGCCAGTCTGAGGCAGGGGTCTGGCAAGGATTATATGTGGTGCCCAAACCAGACGCCACCCCAGCCCCAGCCCTGACCCTGCACAGCCCCAACTCACCCCACATCCGATGCTGGATGCTCGGGTCTCCAACCCTAACCTGCTCGGTGCTGTGCGGAGCCGCATCTCCAGCACTGAATTCAGAACCTCAGCACTGGGGACAGGGCCGGCACCAACTGCAAACATGATGCAGGAGCCTCACCACCCTGATCCGAACCCCATCTTGGAACTCACCCCACCTGTGTAACCTCCCCTGGTGATGCCAGGGGAGAAGGGAAAGGGATGTGTGAGGCAGCAGGTGTGTCAAATCCAGGAGGGCTTCCAAGAAGAGGTGTCCCTAAAGCCGGGTTTCTCTTTCTTAGCACTGTGACATTGTGGCTGGATGACTCCTGGCGGTGGGGCTGTCCTGTGCATTGTACGTTATTTAGCAGCATCCCTGGCCTCTGCTTACGAGTTGCCAGTAGCACCTCTCTCTCCTCCCTCCCACCTAGTAGTGAAAGCCAAAAATGTCTCCAGATATTGCCAAATGCCCCTTGGGGGGCAGAATCACCCCACTGGAGAACCGCTGCTTGGAAGCATGACTTAAGGGGGAAGAGAAGGTGCTGGCTTTAGGCTTCAACTTTCATTGTTCTCTGTTTCCATTTCTCTCTCTATTTGCTGTCCACAGATCACCTCCTTCCTCTTTCATTCACTCAACCAGTGATTGGCCACCTACTGTCTGCCAGGCTCTGGAAACAAGGCAAAGTCCCAGTTCCCATGAGGGACGAAGACAGGATTTTGTTTTTAACTGTAGTAAAATACACATAAAATTGAACGTTTTAATCATTTTCAATAGCATTAAGTACATTGTCGCGCAACCATCCCCACCATCCGTCTCTAGAACTTTCTCATCTTCCCAAACGGACACTCTGTCCCCACTAAACACGCACCTCCCCCCTCCCCGGCCCCTGGCTCCCACCGTCTACTCTGTCTCTATGCATCCGCTCCTCTAGGGCCCTCCCATGAGTGGACCCGCACAGTATCTGTCCTTCATGTGCCTGGCTACTTTACTGCGCATAATGCCTCAGGGTTCATCCATGTTGCAGCATAAGAGCAAAAGCTAAAACCCGCAAGCCCACAACTTTAGGCGGCGGAACGCAGGATTGGGGACACCTTGGCGGACGCAGAAACCGGGGCCCGGGAGGTGGCCTCTGAGCAGGCCACTCGGGGGAAGCGGAAGCTGTGGCTACATTTTCATCCTTCACGCAGCCCAGGTCCTCCCCTGGGCTTTGCAACCTCAACGTCAGGAGCGGGTGCCACTCCCCTTCCAGCCAGGGGAACGCTGCCCTCCTTCCCCGAGGCGCCAGGTCCTGGAGCGGGGCCAGTGGCCTTCTGTCTCCCGGACCGTGACCGAGTGGCTTAAGCAGCCTGTTCTTTTGGGCCTCAGTTTTCCTCACAGAGAAGGGCACTGGGCTCTGGGCCCTGGCGGGCCTGGGCATCTAGCCTGCAAAACCCCAGGGCTGTGGGGAGCTGGGAATTCTAGAGAACTGGGCTGGCCCAGGGGACAGCTGCTGTGACCAGGGTGAGGGATGCAGTGTGTGGGGCTCTCAACGTGGAGATATACAGACACACACACACACACATTCACAAAGGGATGCAACACCGTCACTTACAGTCACACACACAGACAGAGATGGACAGGCACTACACAACTAACCCGCAGACACATGCACCGCACACACAACACATGCACACAGACACAATGCAATAAAAGCACAGACACACGCAGACACTACACCATACACATGCAGAGTTTTGGACATGTAGACAAATGCCACACAATCCAAACACATCACACACACACCACAGACACACAGACACAACTCAGGGATGTCTACACTACACATACACAAAGACACAAACTACAGGACACTACCAAACCACACACACATTACATAAGACACACACATGACATACATAATCCATGCACATAGATACACGCAGATACAGACAAATATAAAAGAAACAGACACAGCACAGACAAGCATACACACAACACCATGAGACCACACATACAACCAATGGACATTTATGCAACACATACACAAAGGTGCAGTTCAAATGACATATCCAAGCCACAGTTGAATGTCCACATGCACATAGATACAATACAGTAAAACCATAGACACTCACAGTACATACACATAGAAACATAGACACCAACAGATGCATAGACACCCACAGAAGTACACACCAAGCACACACATATAAACACACAGGTTAGACATGACACAATCTACAGGTACAATATAGACACAACCAATGCGCACATAGATACACACACAACACAATCACATGCACAAACCCATAAACACAGGCATGTACATAAATGCACACACAAGCAGAACGCTCACACATACAGAGCACACCACACAGATATGAGCACCTGCACAGACACGCCTCTGCCTTCTGCAGCGCTGGGGGTGGCTGGCCGAGCAGCGCCCTTCCCTCCTGCCGCCCCTGCCTGCTCTGCCCTCCTCTCTGCTCTGCAGGCCTCCCCTCCCGAGGACCTCTTGCTTTGCCTCTTCACAGCCCCACCGCCAGCGCCCCAGTCCTTGCTGACTCCCCACTTCTCTGTGTTCAGTCCGGTCCCATCTCCTGAGCTTCATTTGTTAATGCACTGATTCACCCACTCATTCAGTTATTGAGTGAGGCACTGGGCACTGTACCGGGCAGTTGGGCCACCGTAGTGAGTAAGCCAGACAGAAATCCCTTTCCTTGGATCTGCCCTTCTGTCCAGATGATAGATAGATAGATAGATAGATAGATAGATAGATAGATAGATAGATAGATAGATAGATGATAGATAGACAGGCCAATAGCAGATGGTGGCAAGTGCCGTGAGAGACACAGAGCAGGTAGGCCTGGGGAGACAGGTGCTGTTTAACTAGAGTGATCAGCGACGGTTCTCCGAGTGGGTGATGTTTGAGCTGGGACCCCTACAGGGACCGAGAGAAGCAGCCTTCAAGGATCAGGGGAAGGGTATCCTTGGCAGAGGGGACGGCAAGTGCAAAGGGCAATAGCCTGCAGGCCTGGTGTGGCTGTCACTCCCCCTCCTGGTCCCCCCTGTGCTTGGCTGGGGATCACTGGGTGGACTGTACATGGTGTGTTGGAGACACATCGAGGAAGCCAGGTGACTGGAGTTGAGTGAGCCCAGATGAGGTCGCTGCTCCAGGCTTGGTACCAATCACTGTCAGCACCCACCATCACACCCCCAAAGCTCCAGCTCCCCCATCGGGAGTTGAAGAGCCTTACTACTCAGGCCCTGATCTCTCTCTCTCTGTCTCTCTCTCGTTTTTTAAAAAAATTGATTTCAGAGAGGAAGGGAGAGGGAGGGAGGGATAGAAACATCAATGATGAGAGAGAATCATTGATCAGCTGCCTCCTGCTGCCCCCAACT